ATAATGAGCATTTTAATTATTTAAAATTAACAAAAGGAAGAAGGAGGTGAACGGATTCAATGAAGACGGAGGAATGCAACTGAATATGATCTGATATGATCAACATCGAGCAACGAACAAGCTTTGCACGATAGGTTCAGATTATTCTCATTCTCAAGCGCCTTAAGATGCTTCAGTAAAACTTTTTGGAAAGAATACTCGTGGCTGACAAAATGGGTGGCCCATTATACAAGAGAGAATTAATGCCGAGGAATATTGTCACCTTCCGACCAAAGTATCACAAGCGCCATTCGACGTTTCAAAATTTCCACCATCATTTAATTTTTTTACAGAGAAATTGTAGGCTGGATCTGTTTGAAAATGTCACTGAATTTTATCGGCAGCACATAGAAAATTCAGTGAAATTTTCGGACAGCTTCGTTGAACAAATTCTTTGTAAAAAAAAATAAAACGCCGGCGGAAATTTTTAAAAGTCACATGCCGCTTGTGATACTTTGGACGGAAGATGACAATATATCGTCAATTACAGATCGATTGGGCTTCTTTATGTGGAATCAAAATATGAAATTGTTAAACGTTTGTTGAAAAACAAGTATGGTGAATCCGTAATTCACTCAATCTGCTCTTTTAATTTTCCGTCTCCTCATGTTCACTGTATGCGATGGCGAGGCGGAATGATCGATTCTAGATTTTTCCCATTTGAAGCTATGGTAAAGAATCGATTATCAAGGTGTTCGTCACGATCACGTGTTAATTGATTTTTTCCATAGGTTTAAACAGCAGATCAATCGATGTATCGCAAAGCACGCCACGCCATTGTTATATTCACGGTATGAGGGATCATAATTCGACTTTATTATTGCTGGTTCTGTATGAAGTTTCAAACTTTATTTCCTGCAGAGTCTACTGATAAATTGATAACGTGTGTTGATTACGCATCTTAAATAGCCATTAATTCTGAGATTCCACTAAGATTGCACTGGGAACCACTTAACATGATTTCGTTTCTGAGCCAAGTGCCATTCCTCCGTTCTTAATTTGAGCTTTGTAGCTAACTTCTTTGATACCTAGTACTTAGTTTCTTTGTATCTTAAGTGACAATATGGTCCAGATCACGGTGCCGTTAGTGAAAGCTTGCTGTGGATTACTTTTTTCTTCCGCTCTTATGATCGAGTTTCTGAGATTACTCGTGAGAGACATACGTCGAGGAACCTTTTAACGATGGTCTTTCCAGAGTATGTCCAAACCTAGGAATAGTGATATTTCGAACGCCCTATTATTGATGCATTATAGGTAACACCATCATATTATAATTAAAAATCATAGATTTTTAATTGATAATGATTTTACTAGCCGTCCTGGACGCGCTTCGCGCACCCTCCCACGGCTGGCCAAGGGACTGCGGCCCTTGGACCCACAGTCACTCGCCACGCGAGTGACATTCGGTTCGCTCCGCGAACCCTTCTTCTGAGTAGTTGAACATTTGATCACTATAATGTATACATTTTGGCGACTCCCAAGACAGAAATGATTTTTTCACAGAAACTTGTTACCGGAATGTCTCATCATTTGAAAATTAATAAATATGTGGAGATGAAGCAATGATGGGGATCGATCATTTCTTCAAAAACGCATTTGGGTGGGACGTCAGTCCCATCGGGTGGAGGAAAGGGACAACCATAGGTCTCCTTCCACGATTTGACTCACTGAAATAGCAAGGTTCATCTGTACTTCTTAAGAATATTATCGGTGGCATAGCGGTCTGAAAACTGTTAAACGACAGTTAAGTTCGAGTTCCGTTCAAACAACTGTCATGTTTAAAAACAATAGTGATACAAAATAAGATGAAATATACTGCCAAAATATTTGACAGAATAATACTTTCAATAAATGAAGCGACGCAAAAGGTCGCCTTTCCGAATGATGATTGACCATCAGAAATGCTAAAAGAATTAGGATGAAACTCTAAAAAGATTATCATATTTTATTTTTTGAAATTACAGGAGGCATTCATTATAAAGTAAATATAAAACTTAGGTGCTAGATTAACTTTAGTTTTCGGTAATTCTACGATTAAAAATGTAACATCGTGCGATAATTTTCCCTGAGGCCATGTAGAAACTGTTTTAATCAAATTTTAAAAATAGGCACACAATTTTAAGGCGGAAAATTTTAAGGTTGTACTGTAAACTAAAATTCCACAGCAGAAATCACAAACAACGGATAGTTTTGGAACTTAAAACTGAAAAAGAAGGCATTCCTGACACACTCGAATCGCCTTAGCCCATGATTAATTGTTACCTGTAAGGTTACATGCGTGTGCTGCTGTCACATTATTCGCCTGAAACAAACAGATAATTACAATTTAATCTTACGATTAAAAAGATGACTACTAAGAGCTGGGGTGAGAAGGTATGTCTATGTATGCATATATTTTACACGTTCTCAAAATAAAGAAGTTAGACAAAGAACAAAAGCGATTAAGCAGGGATGGGTGGCGGAAGAAAGACAGGAGAAATTTTCCAGAAGTGTTTAAAAACCAGCATTTTTCTGATTCGATGAATCAGTATCCGTGTCGAAATTGCCTTACTCCGTGACAAAAATGACATTCATGGATTCCTCATCTCTGACCATGAGTGCAGCTTGAGTCATTTCCAAAAACTCGGATCCACAAGAGGTCATACCTGTCTCAAGCCCGTTTCGTCAAACTTTTGAATTAACGGCAAACCATGAGGAGGAAAATTGCAAGAATGGATATGAAAGGTCCGTGGTGGAACTTTTTCTATCGTGCCTCTGCCGTTATTCTTGAGGTATTTCAGTTCAAAATTTGTTTGTTTTGCGAGTCAGAGTCTATGAAAAGAACTTGAATAATAATCGAGTAAACATAGTCATACATCGAAGCGGTGACCGTGCGCGAAACTATGAACCCTCGCAGTGGCGTGGCGCAGGGCCGGATTTAGGGGATGGCCACATGGGCCGCAGCCCACGGAGGCAAATTTAGGGGGCGGCAAATTTTGCGATTTTTTTTTAAATGTAGCTACAAAAAAAAAGGGATTCAGAAAAACATTTTCAAACGAGAAAAGGGGACAAAATCTCTCATTTCCTCAGATAATAGTAATTTCTAATCTTGTCGTCTTTCGGTGATACAAGAGACAGCACCTTTAATAACTCGAGTTAAGGGAGAAACTAAACACACAATTTGGCCTGCAGCGGTGTGGCGCAAAGAGAGAAATGATGACGAGGACTTGAGATGAAAAGGATAAGCCCTCGGCGAAGCGGTCGGCATGTAACATATATTAGCGCCTACAAGACTGCATGAATACGGCACGCATTGCGCCAAACATAATGCGGTCAGCAAGGCGCGGCGGCGAAAGTTGAAATGATTAAACCACATTCATATTTGTTCTTTCATAATTTTTTCGTTCATTTCTTATAAATGGAAGACCTTGCCCACACAGATATCGGTTTACGGTACTCAACTTTCGCACAAAGTTCCTTGAAATTTTACTAGTAGTGTTGACATATGGTTTTCGCAAAAATTGTGTCCAACACGAGTAAACGCGTCTTATGCACCCCTCCCCCTCCGGTACATTCACTTGATGGTTTTTATTGATGTTTCAAAACGAATGAGAAGGGGGCGGTACAGTACAGGCGGCCCGTGAGCGGCAAGCAGGTAAATCCGGCCGTGGCGTGCTTTGCGATGTATCGAATGATCTGTCTTTTAAACTTATGGAAAAGGATCGATAAGCAGGGTGTCCGCAACGAACACCTTAATGATCGATTCTTTACCATAGCTTCACATGGAGAAATATCGATAATCGATCATTCACGCAACGCCACTAAACCTTCGATTTACCTTAAGGTGAATACGGGAGTAAACAAAGATCGACTTATTGAGAAAATTTTGTGAAGAACTGATTTTGCTTTGAATGTTTGTAAAAGAACGGATCCATAACCCCTAAGCTATTCCCGAAAAATCTCTTCTGTGAACTTAATTTAAATCGAAAAATTTCTGAACACGGAATATTTCATTCGGCTCTTCAAATCGAACGGTTAATGTTCGCTTTTGGACGTTTACGACTTGATTTTATGGTTTCCAAAATAATGCTTTCGCGCAGACAATAGTGAGATGTGCCTCGCCAAAAATTTGAAGAGTACCCAGTATCTCAACAATTTTTTTCCGATATACCTGATATCTGTTTAGTTCCGGTGCAAATTTAATGGGGCCAAGATATTAATCATCGCAGATGGTCACGACTTAAAATCAATTCCTTTTCTTTTAATCAAAGCTAAAAAACACCAAAAAAATAAAAACCGGGAATTTTCGGGGTGGTTTCAACCCCTCCTTCGACCAGGAAACAAAAATCGGTAAAACATTGCAAAACTCATAATACCTAAACCCACATTTTGAGATAACAAAAAGTGAGGTTATCACCTCTGTTATCACACAATGAGGTTCTGGGTATTAACATTTTTTATATATTTTTGTTTCCTGGTCAAGGAGGGGGTTGAAACCACCCACGAACGTCCCAGGTTTTATGTTTTGTTATTTTTTATCATTGATTACCCGTTTTTGTGGTTTTAGTTAAATTATTAGGGCTGCTGCAACAAAAATACTCGATGACAGTCCGAATAATTTACTAAAATCAAAAAACGGGTAATTAAAGCTAAAAAACAACAAAACAAAGCCTGGGACGCATAGGCGTAGCTAGGGGGGTCCTGGGGGGCCTGGCCCCCCCTAGAAATCTCGTGGCCCCCCCAGAAAACCGGGATTCTCCATTCCTCACCCACCCCCGCTCTCTTCACCACGAAAGGTGGTCCCATGGCCCCCCCTAGAACAATTTCCTAGCTACGCCCCTGCTGGGACGTTGTGGTATGTTATGTTTTGCTTGTTTTAAAGCCTTGGTTACCCGTTTCCCTTGTGTTTTTTGGTTAATTTGAGGCTAATTGATTGATTTTTCTTGATTGACTGATTTTGTTTTGATTTTCCTTATGTGCAGCAACTGGTGGACGACGACGGGAGCGCGGAGACGGCGCTGATCAACTACCTGTTCGCGAAGCAGATCGCCAACCGGCTTCGGAGCCAGATGGACGTCACCGAGCTCCAGAGGAAACGAAGCTACTGGAAGCAGTGCGCATTTAACGCCGTCTCGTGTTTCGGCTAAACACCACCGCCCCCCTCCCTCCACCCCGTCCGCCCCCCCTGCCCCTTCCAACCACCCTTTAAGTTGTTTTCACGCCCCCTCCCCCAACTCCACATCCGCCCCGTCCCCAGGGACTCCAAGTCCTACTTGTTCCTTGTAGGACGTGACGCCGCGCCGCAGAGTTGCCAGATGAGGAAGTCTAGTTCGGCACTTCGCAGATAATATGCCTACGTTGACCAGAAAAAGGAAAGCATTTAGGAAATCATTCTGAATTTTTGATAAGCACTAACGTATTTCTTTGCAGAAATATTTGTAAAAATGAAGGGAAGCGTTGCAGGTCCTTCGGTCCCACCATTAGCCGCGACTCCGCTTTGCATTATTACGAATAACTCACTCAAGTAAATACGTTAGCGTTCATCAAAATTTTTGTGTTTTTTTTTAAAAAAAAAAAAAAAAATTGAGAATCTGTGTAGCCCCCTAACGGTGATTAATAGAGCATTGTAACATCTACATTTATATAAAACAAAGAATATAACAGGCGAACTCTGATATAAATACTTGTGAGTAGAAATGTACCTTTAAAGAAAATCTATGTATAGGATACGTAGTATTTATGGTTTGCCAAATTCTTGGATTTTGGATTTGTGCCCTGGAAGAAAAGTGTATACGTATAAACCGCGGAAGTGCTATATTTTAAATCGGGATCGAGCATACCCTTGGTTCATTACACATACCTTTCAAACCAAACCTAGCGACGGAAAAAATGCGGTTGCAAGAGACGAGTGTAAAAGAAGTGTAAAAAATCAAGTGTAGTTCTTCTTTCATCAAGTAAAAATACGTGGATATCCATTTAGTCTCGACAGGACAATAATTAAAAGCACACCGCAATTCAATGTATTTCGATGATCTTGATGAGGGAAAAAATGGTCAACAAAAAATCTTGGTGCGCACGACTAAAAGTTCAGAGCTCTTCATCAAATATTTTACGTCTCTTAGAATTACTAGAATCATGCATTGCTGAAGAAGTTACGATCGTTTTAAGTATATGATATCCATTGAATCCAAAACATCGCGAAAGAACCGAAACCTTGAAGAGGTCACTCATGTAACTAAGTTCCCGTGTAATTACGAGTAGTACATATGTAATTAGTTGATAAGCAAATGATGAAAAGCAAAAAATAAGGAAACAAAATCAGTTGAAATTTGCACAAAGCGGCACTACTTCATGCTTCGTTTATTGTGACCAAACTTTCCGAAAGTCGTGAAAGAAATGTCGTTCAAGACAAGTTGAAAAGATCAGTTATAAAATCGCCGATGCGTTCAACCGCACTTCCTCCATTGCACTTGAAATACAGATAATTCCCTGGGTAACTTCGGAAAGGTCATCAATAAATAGCTCCAACTAGACTTTTTCTCGCTTATACAGGCAGGGTTGTATCGACTGAATGTGTAACCCAGTATCTCTTCCTACCTACTTTTTCCGCCAAGAGAAACACCCACAGTATACCAAATGTTACTTTTTGAATTTAAAAATGTGAATGCAATATTTTTTTGTTTTAAATTACGAGTTGTTGTAGAAGTCCCCGAACACTATGTTCTTATTCTATTTTGATTTGGATATATTTTATTCGTTAAATAAAAGTATTTTCTTTTTCAATCATTTTGTGATTCGATGAATACAGAGACAGCATTACCAAGCTGAACAAAGTTTTAACACAAAGGGGAATCGATTTAAATCAGCAAAGAAGAGTGTTTTCTTGATGGTTCCTTGTTGCGTGGCGGAAAGGACTATTAACGCCAAGTAAACTTTCAATTGTGGCGACGAAAATTTACAATGCATTAAACTCGTTTTTTTTGCACAAAGGGGCTTTTCCTTCAGCACCAGGGCATCTACTGAGAAAAATATTTCCCCAGTCGTTATAAATTAAAGTTTTTTCAGTTCAAGTGAAATAAGCGCATATTTCCAATGCGTCTTTTATGATATTATTTTATGAGGAAACTATCTTGAATGACAATCTCATAACAGTTTCTTAAAAGAAAAACTTGTCAATTATGCCATCTCAGTCCCCCAAATTCTGCCCTTAAACTACTTAAAATTGTAATGAGGGTATCTCACAAGCTATACATATACTATCATCCTAAGGGAGAGAGCAGTGTGTGCAAAAATTGGTTCTTAATTTTTAAGGTTTTTTTCTTTATTTTTAGAAAAATTGAAAAACAATGCGTACATAGCGTGGCAGTTCATCGGCTGGTCACAACTTTATGCGTCTTTCATTCTCATCTAAAGGAATACTAAAAATTCAGATTTTTGCTGCAAAAACCTCTCCTTAGAAACCAGTGGCGTGGTGTGCTTTGCGATGTGTCGATTGATCAGCCATTTGAACCTATGGAAAAGGATCGATGAACCGAGTGTTCGAAACGAACACCTTAATAATCGATTCTTTACCACAGCTTCAAACGGGGAAAGATCGATATTCGATCATTCACGCCTCGCCACTGTTGAAAACAATGAGTGTAGGGGTCGTATTCTTAGTATTATCTTAAGGCACCCTTCGGACGGATGCTTCGCATGGTTTCCCCCAGTGGTGATATTGCAAATTGGCAACACTGTTTTTCATGCATTTAAATCCATTAAAAATATCGATTTTAGGTGAGACAAGCTGCCTCACCAAGAGTCGATTGTTTCACTCACATTTAAATAGAGGAAAAACAGCGGTGCCAACTTTCAAAAATCCCCGCTGATTTACCCTGAGATTGAGGGAGCTTCAAGGATATATCCTCAACTTAGAAATTAAATGATACAAAAAGGATACAAAAACGAATCTCGGATGAAATTCAGCAGTATGACTTAAAGGATAGATCCGTACAAGGGATTACATACTTTCCCTTACAACAAATTAAAAATACAACATTAGAAATTTTACAATTTTGAAAAATTAATGGTACCTATACTTTAACGTTTGTCAAAACCGGAGGATAGTTTATCCAGTATGGGCGTAATTTTTGCAAAGGCAGATCATTGTCAGCCTTTGCAATGATCTATTTTCGAAGTTACAATGTTGCATTTTATGCGAGATTCGTTAGATATTGTTCTTTTTATGATTCTATTTCAAAGATCTCGTTCATTCTCCCTTAGACACAATGTCAACAATACAGGCCATATTGGTGCCATATTATGACCATATTGGACATAAGTTAAACCTCCAAAAGAAAGGGACTGCGATCAAACAACGAGTGTAAATACGATTCTGCTACAAACTTAGAAGATTTTACATTAACGATCGCGCGTTCTTTTGTACACACTGCTCCCTCTAGAACAGTTGGACTACATTTCGCAATAAGGGACATACTACTTCTACCCAAAACTACCTCGTTTTAAAAACAGCGTACGTGCCGTTAGTTCTCTTATGAAGGTACGTCGTTTTATGGATGAGCAAGAAATAGTGATTCCTCATTGCAAAGTGTGGTCCAGTTGCCAGTAGACCGTAGAAACAATTCTACAAAATGCGAGTACAAATCAGAGAATGTAACACTTTGCACTTCAGAATTTGTTGCCTCCCATTCGAATTAAAGGCGATTTTTCTTTCCCACTTTTTTTTCAACGAGAGGATCGCATGACATGAGTATGACCTTCAAACTAGGCTAAGATTTCGACTCAACTTTGTGTTCTTTTGATAAAAACAAATAAAGCACATGTTTCACATCCTTATTGGAGTTCCTTCATAGGGAGAGTATGGACAATTCGATTTATTTAGCTCTTAGGGCTCAAAAGGGCGACAATGTGAAAAACAAAAGTCACTAGAAAAGTGCCGCTGCCAACCTATGAATTTGAAAGATGATTCGATAGGGCCGACAGCGCATTGTAAACAAGCGTTTATAAGGATTGAGATTTAGAAACTGAGAAAATGTATGCAAAATCAAAGTTTTATACATGCTTTTATGATTTTTGATCAGTGTACCTACTCTCGGAGTTTGAATTAGTACCACTGGATAATTCGAGCCCATAGGTTGGCTACCTTTTTGGGCCCTAAGAGCTACATGGCCTGGTCAAACCTAACCTCCAAATTTTCGAGTTGTGCATACTCTCCCTATGAACGTACTCTAATCCTTATGTTATTGAACTTATTCGAAGGATACAAATTTAACTATTGTTTATAGGCTCACAAGAACAGAATGCAATGATTGACACCTCACTACATATGTAAAAAAAAAAAAAAAAAAAAAAAAAAAAAAAAAAAAAAAATTCCATACGTAACATTAGATTTTTTATGGGGATAGGGATAGTAAAAACAAACAATTTTGGCAACGCTTCGTTTATTTGACTTCCAGACACGAACAGGTAAACTGTTTCTCAAGTTAGTGTGGCTTGACCCACTTCGTTTTCTTCACAAAAGGACGACGTTTTGTGAGTAGTGGTTTCCCCATTAATTTTTCATTTCACTGTGTCTTACAGTGACTTGAGAGGGAAAGGAAAGTTCATTGAAAGAAAGAAAAAAACAAAACATAAAAAAGTTTCTTAAAATAATGATGGGGGAAATGTGATTTTGTTAAAAACAAGTTATGAGCAGGTTTTGATTTCCTTCTGACTGGACCATTATAGCCTGCACTGATTGATATCCGATTTGATAGGAAACAGATAAAATAATATGACTGTTATTCATCGCCCATAAACTAGAAACATTGCCAAAGGGGGAAGGAGACGCTGAACCTACCTTCGATGACCTTGGATTCCCGCTAAATGTTTTTTTTTTATATATACATATATTTTTTCACCATTTTCAAAACTCCCACCCCACTTGGACGTTTTTGGACGCGGATTCCCCTCTCACTGTTGATAGACTTCTATTTGTTAATTTTCCCAAGAGAAGGCGGGCTCCAGAAGCGGATACCTTAAATCGAGACTTTCAAGAGTTTTCCAATATTTTGAAATAAAAATATACATGTCGCAGGCAATTAGCAATCGCTGGCAATTTACAAGCCAGTGGTGAATAAATATAGAAACTCATAAAATTCAAAGATAAAAGAACAAGATTAGGTGCTGATTATGTTACCTATAATGTGAATGGACACTTTTCCATCCTTAAAGACATGGCAGGAATGTCCACACTCAGAAGAGCGTGTAGTGAACTCCGTGACATTACTTGGGTTGAGATCGGACGGGCAACTAAACTAACATCGTGACATAGCGTGGACGATCACAAAAAATGAAGGCGCTTCAAGCAGAGCTCATACTTTTGAGGACCATAACCCTTAAAAATGGGCCTGTTGCATGCAAGAGATACAGCCGTGCGAATAGACTTTTTAGAGGTTGAATGACACGAAAATTACGATGGCCACATTCAAAAAGTCTGAAATACACTCCTTACTGCGCAATTTGCGTTGTTAGGAACGCGCTTTTTCAAATTTCCCGCGTCTGGGGGCAGTTTTGTAACAGAAACAATTAACGTCAACTCGCGGCTATTTCCGGTCAACTAAAACTGACAACATAACCTAAAAATCGGAGCTCGTGATATAGTGTAATGAAATGTAGAAGAATTGCGTTGGATATTTAAAAGTTGATCGATTTGGTTACCGCATAAAGCGTATATGGACCGCTATAAGAGATCACGTTGGGTTTGTTAACAAACTGAAGGAAAAAGTAACAACAACAACAACAACGACGCGGCATCTTCCGGAAATCACCGAGCTCGCCGTTTGCTCGTTTCCGGTGATTAGAAAACTGCCCCCAGACGCGGGAATTTTGAAAAAGCGCGTTCCTATTAACGCAAATTGCGCAGTAAGGAGTGTATTTCAGACTTTTTTAATGTGACCATCGTAATTTTCGTGTCATTTAACCTCTGAAAAATCTATTCGCGCGGCTGTATCTCTTGCATGCAACAGGCCCATTGCATTATGCCGACGCGCATTATTGCAATTTATTGAAACAACTTGTGAACTGCTTGTTAATTGCCGGCGATTGCTAATTGCCTGAGACATATATACGTTTGTGCATTTTTTTCCAAGTTAAGAAGCACAGCTATTTTCTAACATTGTGATAATTCACCTCCAGTGGAATTCTTGGATTAAAGGGTGAACCGTTTTCAGTTATATCGTGACATCACTACATTGGAAAGTGCAAGGTAAGTGTAATTCGCACGTCAGTTTTCAATCTTCAGTTCATTTTCAAAAATTGATCCGTTTTGGATGTTGTAATGAAAAAAAATGTCAACTTGCCTAACTTCACAAACGTTGTGATGAAAGGAGAAATTCTTATTCAATTTCCATTCCTCATCCTCATTTAAATGAGAGCCAATCCTTTCATCGGAGAGAATTCGACATAGTGCTCACATGTAGACAGATAAAGGATTGCGACAATCGCATAAAAAATTGGACGCTAAGCTCCGATTTTGTGCGGCTGCACTCGAAAATTATCCCACACAATACACTGACAAGGGATGCGACAAAATTTTGCATTCCCACGAATGACTGGAGAAGATGACAAAGGGACGACGAAAACTTCAATTTAAAGTTATTAGAGAGACTGCTAAACCATCAAAAGCACTGAATGAGTCAACGAAAGTTGCTGTAATTTTACAGACGCTTCGAATCTCGCTCGGCTACCATGCAGGGAGCAGTGGCGTGGCGTGCTTTGCGATATATCGATTGTTATGCCATTTA